TTGACCCTTTGCCCTTTCGATATATTTTTCGATATGATAGAAAATGAAAAATTTTTCACAACGGTAGATTTTTTACTTAAAAAAAGAATTTTCATTAATTTAATAGCACAGTCTTATAAGGCATAAAAAGCCATTTAATTTTTATTATAAACATTTTTTTATATCTACTATAGTTTTAAAGATATACAGGGAAATAGGGTACACTTATCTTCATTCAAGGGCTGTTTTCACCCCGAAGAACCGAAATTGGGTCCCCTACAAACCCACAAAGTTTCAAAAAAATCGGACACCTCGGGTTACCGAAGTTCCCTTGTGAGTGCGGGCTAACTGAACTATTCAGACCACGAAGGGTTAACACGTTGACTGCCGCGCGCATTTTACCTGGTTTGCCCATGGCGCCAACATGAATTTTTTATTACGCGACGCCGGTCACCGGTGACCCGCAACGGCGCTGCAGCCAAGTCGAGTGCCGGTCACCGGTGACCCCCATGGCAGTCGACGTGTTAACAAACGTGAAAATGCACAAACGTCAATCTCAATATGCAGAAGACCTTAGAAGAAACACGCGAAAACACTCGAACAGATCGAGACACGATTTACAAACCCCGGAAATCTTTTGTTTCACAGCACTGGCGGCTCTCGCTGGTAGCCAATTACGAACCAGCAACACGAACAGGCAACAGCCAGCGGCGAACAATCAGACGCACGAGATGTCGGTGCCGAACGAGCTGATCGGCTGCATCATCGGCAAAGGTGGCACCAAGATCGCGGAGATACGCCAGATCTCCGGCGCAATGATCAGAATCAGCAACTGCGAGGAGAGAGAGGGCGGCGCCACCGATCGTACGATCACTATAACCGGAAATCCGGACGCTGTGGCATTGGCACAGTATCTCATCAACATGAGGTGAGTACTGTGGCGCCGGAGTTTGATGTCGCTCCGGTTTCTGCCCGCCGTGTATCGAAAGAAAAACAACGATCCACGGGGAACGTTGGATACGTGAAAATAATTACAGTACAGGATGTTTCAAACGCGTGTTCGTAATTAGATGGAAGTAACTTTCGTTGGACAAAGCAGAATCGACGATGTATCGTTGAATTTACCGGTAAAGTCGATACGTGTTGTTTCTCAGAGATATAAATTGTAATTTTTATTTCATTTCGCGACGACGGTAGATTTAGGATCGATTTGACCTTCTCGCTGCGAAGAGAGTGTACAGGGTGGATCTTTTAAATGTAGCTACTCGTTCACGAGAAGCGTACACGTACGCCTGTATGATACTGTAATTTATTAGAAGGTGATTTTGAAGTAACTACTTGTTTAAAAAGAGCGTGCACATACGCCTGTGTAATACTGCAATTTATTAGAAAGAGCGTGCACATACGCCCGTGTAATACTGCGATTTATTAGAAATTTGAAGGAATTAGAAATTTCACTTCCACGAGACAGTTGATTTTGCCTTCGTTCTTATCTCACCATTGAATACCAAGTGCACAGCGAGAAATTTTTATCTCGAGCGTTCTGTAGCGAAAGGGTTAATTCAGCACGAAGATCCTTCGTCTATCGTATTACGATTAATCTTTAGAGGGTCGTGTTTTTTCCATTGGAAAATTCATACTTATAAACAACCTACATGCGTCCAAGTTTGTGTTTACGGCCCTCTAAACGTTAAAGGGGTAACTTTCATACTGAAAACAATCACAACGTGTTTTACCCGGTACAATCTCCGCGACATTTCGTCACATTCGCCAGTAATTCTCAACAAGTCCTCCGAAATTCTCCATGTAAATACAGAAACACCTTTTCTGAAACAGCCTGTAACGGATCGTCCAACGTTCCCTCCGATCAGATTCATGTTTTCTCTCTGTTCTCGAGGAGATATTGTTCTAAGAATTCTTCCATTGTTCCCTATATCGGTTACATGTCGAACTCGTCCCGGCTACGTTTTGCGATTAATCGCGACACATCACCACCCACCACCCACCCACCACCACCCTTGAAGAAGAAAAAAAAAAAAGAGTCCCATATTTAACTGTACTCTAATAGTATTCTTTCTTTCTCCGAATCAGATCCGAAAGATCGTCGGATCTTGTGTGATAAATGTCGCCGGTGTAGTAACGTTTATTTATTTATTCTTTTTTTCACACTGTACATCCCCGAACCAGCCCCCGTTTAACGAAAACCCCGCCCACAACCCACCGAAAAACAACAAAACCCCGATTCGCCTGTTTTTTGTGTTATACTCGTTCCTCCCGTAATTGACCTTTCTTAGCCTTTTCGGTGTTCTCGAAGGTGATCTCGGCGAGACTAAAAGGGAAATTAGTCGAATTGCCGTGATCGCGACACACCTCCCATTATCTCATGTTTGTTAATTGTTACTGTTGTCTCTGGCGGCGACGTGCTGGTTTCGAATAACTCGGGCGCAACAGAAATTCCTCTGTACTATCTTATCTGATCCTTCGAAAGCATCTTCAATTTCACGTCCAATCGCATTGTTGCAACGTTTTTCTGTATACCGATTCTCCGTGTACAGACCAGGAAAGAGAAAGAAATGCACACCTGTTTCGTTACGTACAGAAGGTGTAGAGGAATCGGTAAGTTTCCGCTGTGTGAAAAAATTTCATCGACGAGGAGGAAAAATTGTTTCGGGGATGAGAGAGAGAGAGAAAAGGGGGTTGTTTGACCGGCGCGTCGACGCCAGATTGAAGTGAAATACCGTGAAAGAGGTGGCGGTGCCGGCGGCTCGGTGTGTTTTCTGGGCGGGAAAATGGTTCGCACGATTGATAGACAATAATGGATGTTTGTTAACGGAGGGAAAGCCTCGTTGAACTTTGCGTGGAAAACGCGTTGCCGCGGAGCTGCCACCTCTCGGTTCTCTCGTAGCGAGAAACAGGTGAGGAAAAGAGTTTTCGTAGTGAAGTAAGGTTACATAGCCAGAGAAGACGTCGCAGCGACCGCGAACAGAGGGATCCTCTCGCCGCCCGTTCTACACGCGGAGTTCTCCGGAAGACATCTTCGTCTGCCCACGACGGAAGAGGATATCTTAATCCTTTGTTTCCAGGTCCTGCTTTCCAGGTCCAGTACCCTGAGTATCCTGCAGACACAACTCCGCTCAACATCTGTTTCCTATATTGTCGCTGGCTGTCCTTTCAAGCAAAAAAAAAAAAAAGAGAAAAAAAACAAGAGATTTCTTTGGGGGAAAATATATATTATCGATATATATATATACCAATCACGATGACAGATACGACACGTTTAGTCGAACGATTCCAGCAACTGTTTGTCGGTCCGTTTATAATTAGACGAGTTTTTTCATCCCCGAGAGTATCCTGCATATATATATATTATATACAGCAATTTATGCATCACTACAGTATTCCTTTTGTTTTTTTTTTTTTTTTTTTTTTAACAAATCCACCCTACTGATATTGTTCGGTTCTCGACGATCCAGAGTTTCTTTTTCTCGATCGAGATCGCTCCTGGCGAAGGATCTTTTTCAATTTCATTGTTATTTTGAATAGTGATCGATGAAAGTTTCGTTTCGGGAGATTAATCGTGTGTTTCATTGGAGAACCTTGAGAGTCAGAGAATATCAGCCAAATTGCAAAGGAAAAATATCTTTTCATTGCTAAAAAAAAATAGCCAAATTGCAAAGGAAAAGTATGTTTTCATTGGTAAAAAAGAATTGCCAAAATTGTGAAAGGGAAAAATATATTTTCATTGCTAAAAAACACTTTGTAATAGATTTTCTGAAAAACTCAGGTTTGTTAATTGTAGCAGACCGACGATATCATTGAAATTCGATTAAAATGTGACAATTAAGGTGTTTAAAAAAAATTCAGTGTCGCCTAAATTATCGTCTATCGAAGAATCATCTGTGAACGAAGCGTTTCACTGCGTTCCTTAAATTTTACTTCGCCAGGAGTATCTCTTAGTCGCATCTTTAATATTTTAATTTTTACATTTCCTCGCTGCTGATCATTGCGTCTTATTGAAACAGTGAACGTCCACGGATGCAGTTCTGTTTGTCCCCCGTTTATAATATATACATGTAGTTATCGTGCTATGGGACTAATATACATCTTACAATAATTCTTTATGGCGACACTCTCGAAAAAACCGATAAAGAAGAACAGAAAAAAAAAAGAAAATAGAAAAGAACGATTTACTAACGTAGTCGTCGACGAGATTCGAGACGGTCGAAAAACGCGTTCGATGAAAAAGTAAAACAATCGCCAAAGAAAAGAAAAAAAAGAACCCCCCGTCTTATTCATCCCCCAAATTCGAAATAGCACGAGAAAAATACGAACCGAGTGTCCAGTAAATTGATATATTTAACCGCCATTGAACGCGGGATCGTAACCCCTTTTCACACTGTTTCTTCCACCTTTTTACAAATTTATAATCCATATTATATTTTATTCCAGATTGTCACTCATATATATTTTATACTACTGCATTTGAAAATAGCGACCGAGTATATATATATAAACACACATATATATATATATATATCTCACCATACATCCCCAACCGCCCCCCAAAAAAGAGAAAAAAAAAAGAATTGTTTACTTCTTGTACCTGTTCACAAACTTGGTCGTCATAATTATTACGTATCGTGTTATCATTCCCCTGCAGCACTCCCGTGGCTAAGACCTGCACTCTGCCGCGTCCAATCCCGTTTCCTGTCCGGTCGCGCGTTTTGATATACGAGCCAATTACGATTTGCTAAATCAGCGTTCTATCTGTATCTATATGTATATCGTTTACATCGGCAGACTGTCTCGCACAGTTTCTGATAATATCGTTCGTTCACGCGGCGGAGTGCAAGTGCCGAGCCCCGTTTAGTTTGATTTCCGCTTTTCAGTGAAAGCTCGCAGAGCCATGCTACGTTCGATCCGCTTCCGCCAAAAAAAAAAGAAAAAGAAAAAGTATCCTTGATACGATACCGAAATTCAAGAAGAGACGACATATATTGCTTCACACAAAAAAAAAAGAAAATCACATCGCTACTTTTATATCCTCCAGAAGTATATATCCTGTGTCGCTTTGTTTTTTTGTTTTTATTTTTTCTTCTGTACCAGAATCGAGAACTCTCTGTCTTGTGTGTGTCATGCGCAAACGGATTATGGCTCTGCTGAGCCGGAGAGGAATGGCTGTCGTGTATTCGTGAAAATTTCGATTAGAAGGTTTCAATATTTGGAAATTTTGCTAAAATTTCTATTTTGCCCGCGAGATATCCGTTTCGTTAACGAGTACACGTGCCATTTTCGACGGCTAAGAACTCCCCGCAGCGCGCCAACCGGCGTCAGGACGTCGTTCCACTTGATCCTCGAGGCTTCATCGTGTACGCGACCGACAAAACGTGACCGTGCTGAGTCGAAAAACGACGCCAGACGGTGGAACGGTCGTGTGTGGTCGGTCCACGGTGTCTCTCTCTCGTTGCCCTTCTGGAGCACGTCCCGACGCCGGGAAAACTCTTCCCCCACACGCCCTAGCCCCCCGAAAGCCCACGAACAACCACGTAGCCGGTGTACGTGAGAGTATCACGCTCCATAGAACACACCTGTGGCATAACTCTCTCTGTGAAGCCTGTTGAAAACCTTTTTGCGACTCGATGTCTTTTCTTTCTTTACTTTTTTTTTTTTTTTCTAACTCTCATCCAATATATATCACACTTAGCGACCACCACCACCACCACCACTGTCAACCACGTTCTCTGTCAAATCTATCTCTCTGTTTAATCGATGTAACAACATTCTTTTTCTATCTGTCTTCTCGTTTCACCTTTCATTTCCTATCTATCTTCTTTCTTTTCTTCATCTTCTTCTCTCTGTTCATTTATCAAACACACAGAAACACAGTATCTGATAATTAAAAACAAAAGAAGCCACACGATATACGTA